GGAAGCAATGGGAATATCTCCTGGATGCAGTCAACAACAGCAGTATGAGCTGCTGGCAAGGACCATCAATGGCAGCATTCACAGGCTTGTACCACTCCAAGGTACCAAGTACATACACTAAACCTCTTCGGTCTCTTCAGGAGACAAGAGGGGCCTGAGCTGTTACCTGTGCCTGAGAAGGCCTGGGAGCAGCTCCTACAACTCCACTGATCTCCTGCAGTCAGGAACTGACCAAAAGGTGGGAATGCAAACATACCGTGCAGAGACAGCCTGGCACATCTAAACTGCACCAGTTGGAAAAGTGACTGCTGAATACTGGAAACTGCTTTATCCGTGGGGTTGGTCTAAGGCAGCTCTTGTCACACTGACCAAGAGCTCCATGCCCTAACTGCAGGGTGTTCTGTACCCACCAGTCCTCCGTGTGCCCTTCCCCAGGAGTCCTGCGGCACCAGATAACACAGCCCAGGGTCAGGGTGTGCTCTGGGTGGCAGCTGTTGTGGCACTCACAGTGCCCTGGCCCAGCCTGAGCGACAGCACCACCGACATGAGGCAGCCAGCCCCAGAGGTTACACTCCAGCAGTGTCTTCCCGTTCCCGGCTGGCTGTCTCCCATGTGGCGACGCACAGCACTCTTCACCCGGCTATTGGCCCAGCCCAGAACTGTTTTTATTAGAAAACACTAAGGCAAGCCTTTCCAAGCCTCAGAAGAATCATCTTGTAAAGATCTGGGCTTGAGATGCCAAATGATTGCTGCTTTGGCAGAGTCTGCACATTCATTTTTTATTGGTCACAAACGCTTTCCAGATGCTGGCATGCTGGCTGCAGATTGCAACTCTGGGGACTTGGCTCCCAGCCCCAGTCACTTTGTTAAACTCTTGACCTGCTGTGGGTTAAAAGAAGCGGGAATGGGACTGAGTCACCATGAGGGCATTGCTAAGAGAGAGTGCACCGCACAGCAGAGACCCATTTCAGCAGCTTTCTGTGCTCAGCTGGCATGGAAAACATTTAAGGTGGTCCACAGCAATCCAGCTCAGCTGCCAAAGCTGGTGAGAACTCCAGCACAGCACCAGTCCAGGGTTTAGGAGCAGGGGCAGAGGGGCTCTGCCCTGCAGCTGGATTTTCCACACTGCAGCTATACACTTTCCATCTTTTTTTCCTCTGCACAAGTGGATTTCCCATCCCTGCTCCAATACTAAAGCAGTTCTCTGAGCCAGAGCCATGTGCAACATCAGACTGAAAGCTGAAGCCAGGAAACCTGCCTTGGGTTCAGGTTTCATGACAAGCCTAAAGCTTGTTCATCAAGGAGGTTTGTGAACTTTTGGGGAAAAAAAAAAAAAGACTTTCTGGGTTCTCAGTTGTTACATGGTGTCCCAAATAAGGAGGGAAAAATAAAAAAGAGATGTGAACAAGCAGAAGGAAACACAATTTTGACAGAGCTGTTTGATATTTTTAGGAATGGAAAAATTTCCCTTTGAAAAACATAGCTGTTACAAATTATTGTTTTTTCCCCTTCCTCAACAGGGCAATTAAAAAAAATCTAATATTTTGCACTTTTTGATAGGCAGTTGATGACTTTCTTTAATCTCAGTTTTCAAGAAGAAAAAGTTCTCTCAAAATCTCAGTTCAAAGAGAACACTTTTAGCTGAAACGAAATTTTTCATTCTGCTTTGAAATATGCAGCCAAAAGCAGTATTTCAGAGAATGTATTTCCATTCAGAACTTCTGGACAGGAAGAAAAACAGTTCCTGATAAGATCTCTTGACCTGAGCTTGAGTGCAGTTTCCCCCTGCTCTGTGTGGGGACTGTGCTGGGGTGGGGGTGCTCAGGGAGCAGAGTCCTCTGTCCAGAACATCCCCTCAAAGCTCTCACCCCCCTCTCCTTTCCACTGCTTTATCCAAGTGCTGCCTGAACACAGCTCTGATGAGCTCCTGGTCTCTGCAGATGAACTGGAGGCCAGGCAGGGCAGTGGGCAGGAGGCTGGTGCAGGAATGCCCAGCAGGGCTGGAGATCAGCTCCTGCAGCACTTGCCCAGGGCTGTGGTGGTGGGAATGGCCCTTAGTGCCTGGTCACCCCTCAGCTGGGGGACACTGCTGGCAGAGCTCTGCCTGCTCCCCTCCACCCAGCAGCTGTGGGTGGAGATCCCCAAGATGCTGATAGAAGCAGGATGTGAGGGACAGCTGGGTCATGGCTCTGGGTGTTCACTTCTAACGTCCCTTCAGACCTTTGTGGGAGCTCAGTGTCACCCACAGGCCATTCATTAGAGCAGGCAGGGCCTCTGTGTGTTGAGCAAAAAAGGAGAGAGTGAGTGACCCAGTCCTTCTGGTCAAGCCTTCAAGAGCCACCCAGGGAAAAGAAACAGAGGATTCAGTGGGAGCTGGGATCTGCCTCTTTGTACTTCTCCTGCTCAGCACAGGCCTGCCCACAGCTCTGCTCATGTTTGCAAGCAGTGCACGATCCCCTCAGCATTACTTGTGCATACAGAAAGCTCTGCAGTCCAGAGGGAGTATTGGGGGAAGGTTTTATCCCATGGATCTGGTCCAGTGATGCTAATTAAATCATCACATTAGAGCTGGGGGCTTTCTTGAGTAAGTGTTACCACTTGAGCTGAATCGCACCTCTGCTCGCAGCCAGGTGTGCTGCCTTGACTCCAGAGAGCCCTGCCAAACTCATTTCACTTGTGATGCTAAGGCAGTTCCAGCACAGTCTCCAGAGATGAATAAAAAAGGGGAGCAATACAGTGTAAGCCTGAAGCCATTTAGACTCAGCCAAGTGGAAATCCATCCTGACTCCCCACCCAAAACCAAACAACTGAGAAAAAGAGAGAAAGTTTTACATAATAATCTCTCCAATGTTACAGCAGACAGTGTTTCTCTGAGGACGTTATGTAATGTCTCGTAAGGGCTTTCAGCTGAATTATCAGGTGACTTGCACAATTACTAAAGAGAAAAACAGAATCACAGGTGAGCAGTGGGTGTGAGAATACATTTCTGCCTGTTGTGCATTAGCAGCAGGAGAAGTGATTCAGATTCAAGGAGATGTCATTGCAGATAGGCTCATACTACAGACCTCAGATTTGGAGGACCTAGAGCTGTTTAGATCTGACATTCTGGTCCAGGCCTGTCTTCTCCAGCATTAGAGAAGACCACTCCACAATCCTTTGCAGAGGGACAGACTCTCCAGGGTGACTTTTCCTGCCTCCTCTTATCTTCAGGCCTTTACAACAGGAATCACTGTTCTGGGACTGACTGTGCCACAAGGACACAAAAGAGAGTTCTTGGCTATTTCTTCTCCCACAGTCCAAGCATGGGAAGGATGAAAATATTGCAGATGAACTCACACTATGTAGATGCTGATGTTTACTTACATTACTCACGTTCTCTCCCCTACCCCTCCTGCTCACTGAGAGCTGCAGGGGCACAGGAGGAAGAACTTGTGCAAACCCAGCCAGCACACCCGATAACACAACCCTTCGTGCCACCTTACTGAGTTCTGTCTCACAGCAAGAAGTAGGAAAAAAAAACCAACAGCAAAAAGCATCATTTTTTGCTGGGATTTTGCTCCAGAATCTCTCTCTTCTGATGGTTAGGAACCTTCTAATTACCAGCCACAGTTACTACTGGCTAGATGATACCCATCTGTTCCTGTGCCAGTGCTGCCTTTAGTCTAAGCAGTTCTCCTCCCTGGTATTTACCTCTCTTTTTTCTCCTGTTCTGGTGTACTTATAGAATTTCTCTCAGCCTTCACTATGCCAAAGTAACCTGTTATTGAGGGAACATTTATCTAATGGGTTTACATTTGCTTTTGCCATACATTGGGCTATATATGTCCAGCTTCAGTGTTTGAATGAAGCAGCTTTGTTTTCAGATCAGCATTTAGCACATCACTGAAGAGATACCTTATTCATCCATGAAAGGAAGGAACCCTCTGTTGCCACAGAGTGCTTTGTAACACAATAAATAATCACATGAAGACAAATGTACAAATTACTATCAACATGGTAGCAATTACTGAAGGAAGGGGTAGATATTAGCAATCAGAAGACAAGAGAAGAATAACGTGGACAGTACTGAGAGCTGCTTGAAAGAGAAAAGAAAAGGCACTTGGCAGAATGAAGAAGAATTAACTTCCAGAGCAGTGGAGATATTGAGTGCTGCTCTTCAGCAAGCCCCTAGGCAACAAATCAACGAACTTCTCCAAAAGAAGAGCAAAAACCAAGTGTTGCCAACATTTTTATATTTCAATGTCTTTTTTTTAGACAGTCCTAGTAATATCAGAGTAGTTCTGCAAATGCAATCATAGAATTTTACCAGAGGAAACATAAACCTTTAATAATCCCCCACTTGCACCATAATCAAATTGCTGGTACCATAACCCTTTTGTGGTAAAACCAGCCAGACCAGCAAAGGAAAATGCCTCTTGGGTGAGTACATGCAAGTCTCACATGATGTTGGGGTGAGATAGGAGGGCTTTGTCCTGTCTGGTTTTGGGTTCCATAATGCTTCTCAGTGTAGTAATATAGCTTACATGCATCCTCTCTCCTGTGAGTGCAACCCAGAGATGCAGATGTGATATGTAATGCATTTAAGCCAGTGTATGCAGCTGGCTTAAATACATCTGTGACCAGCAAAAATTGCCTTAAAAATTGTTTTCTGGCCAAATTATTGTTAGCATTTTGATGTAGTTTCTACTGGAGGCATTTTTAAGGCTATATTTTGTACATGAGTATAAATCAAACAATTTCATTGACAGCTGACAGAATTATTTTAGATTTCACTGGGGCAGCTGATATAAAATCTCAGCATTTTATGCCCCTCTCACCCCAGAAGCAGTTGCATTAGACTAGAGAGTGAATAACTCTCTGAGTTAATCCATTACCCTGTGTTGCTTCCTCCAGAGAGGCCAGAACGGAGCCTGATATCATTGAAGGTAAGTGCAGAATCATTAGGTAGAATTTCAGGAGGTATGGCCAATCACCCAGGAAGCTTTAAAACACAGTCCTACCTGCTTTAAATGCGCTTAGTTGTACATTCCGTAGACCGAAGGACTCTTCCTACCCTCGGCAGCACCTCCCGGCCGAGGATGGGTGTCCTACCGGCGGCTCTCCTGCGCCCCCTGGCACCTGCTCCCCTTGCTGCAGATTATTTACAGGATCGCCAATTCCTGCTCATTTGACAATGTCCCGATGGCAAAGCACGTGGAACCTGTGGGAAGGGAGGATGGGTGAAAGGAGAGTCATGAGAGGGTTCCTGTGAATCAACCCGGGAAGAGCTGGTTTCAGCTCACCCTGCTCATACTGGCCCTCACTACTCCTGCACTCGGGGAGGAGTTGAAGTCAATCAAGGTCCACTGCAGGCCAGAAAGCTCTTTTGTTTTGTTTCCATTCTGGAATCACATCCTTGCTGTGTTCCACTTTGGAGTGGGGAAAAACTGTGGCTCTAGTGTTTGTGCCTGGATTTGCACTCTGTTACCTACACCTCCATATGAACACACACACACACACAATATATAGCAAGAGATTTGTAGTAGATCTCCCTGAAATTCTTCCCCTTTGAACTCTGCCAAGTATTATCATCGTTATTATTACTCAAATACCCAAAGCTATATCTGATACCATCATGCCATCAAGAAAGGAACAGTGGGTTTGGGGCCCCTTATGAAGAGGTACAGGCTGATGTTGATATAGAAGCCTCCTCCTTAACTAAGCCAGGAACAGACTCTAAGGAAGAGGAGAGAAGGATCCTCCATGTAGATCCTAGGGGACAGCCTTGGAAAAGAAAACTCAAAAATCTCCTACAGACACACCTTTTAGGTCCTCTGGGGTTGCAGCAGGACAAGGCTCCCCAGAACACCCCCTAGGATTAGGGAAATAGAAGTATAACTACTTCTAGTCCATCGTACCTCCCTGCCTCTGGAAAATAAGGACTAAACACTGACTGTCAGAGAACAGCTAGCAGGCTGAGACTGGGACTTCATGCCAGGAATTTCTTTTTCTCACCTCTTTGCTGACAAGGAAACAAATTTCTCTCTTAAACATTTCTTGCTTGCTTTCTCTATCCTTCCCTTCCTCTGGAAGTGCAAAATGAGTCAATTGGATAGCTAATCAAGAAAGAAAAAGCAGACACACTTACTAGAAGCTGGAGAGAGTAGATATCTACCTTTAGTTGCAGGGATTGGCACGGGTTCCTACCCATAAAGATAAGCCTCCACAGCTGTAGTTCTAGGAGGTTAGATCTTCCTCCAAGCATGATAAGCCTCAATCCACTGGATAGTACAAAGGGAACAGGGATTTCCCCAATACTGGTATATACTATATAAATTTCCACCTTCAGGCAATATATAATGGGTGAATTATAAACCCTTGAAATTTAGTTTTCTAGTACAAACATTGGTAGATCCTTGAAACAGTCGTATTGATATAGCAATTATAGCAGACAGTGTTGTTTACTAACTGCAATAATACGCCATAATAAATGATAATCTACCTTGATACTGTGATATTATAATACTGTTATTACAGCTAAAACAAATATTTTGCTGAACTAATGCAACTAATTTAGCATATATAAAAATCCTAGCTTAATTGCAAGTTTCACAATTGCAGAAAGTGCCAAAACAAATTGAAGTCCATGGGCAGAACAAAAGGAACCAGCAGGTTATACAACCAGCATTCTTGGAAGAGAAAAAGAGAAAAGATGAGCAAAGGGAATCACTTTGCAAAATCTGAAGGAAAAGAATGTTGGGAGAGTTATAAAACAACATGGTTTAAATGGTCACAAATGTTTGATTACCCTTTCCTGTAAGGGTACACAGAGGCAGTGACAAATTATTCAATCACATTTAATACACAGACATCTGGAGAACACACTAACCAGGTAAACCTCCAAACTGGAACCACACTGCTGTTCCTGCTCTAACAGCAAGAAGCATTGGAGCTCTACTAGGATCTGCTATGTCCTGCAGAGGAATATTCAGACTATTCCACACCCTCTTCTAATGTCCTTTGGAGCTTCAAGGACCATGGTAAGAAAGCTCACAGAGCCATGACAAAGCTGCTCACACCTGGATCATCACTAAAGTGCCCTGGTTAACAATAATTACTAACAATGCTTCATAACCATCACGAGCTGTGTAGGTTTGAAACAAGCATGTTGTAGGTGTGTTAAAGCACAAAGATAAATCCATATTCAGGCAGAAATGAAAACATTTCCATTTGCTAACCCTAAACCACAGTGTGTGTGCACAAACACACTTGTACACCCCACAAACACACTTTATCCTAATGCTTTCCAAACACAGATTGCTGTACGGTGCATCACGACTTTGGGGTGACTGTTCTGAACACTTTAGGACAAGGATTCTTTTTTCCACTCTCCAGCCTAAGAGTAACAATATTTTGGCTTTTGCTCCTGCCTGATTTTGCTCAATGACAGTCAATTCTAATACTTGCAGTTAGATGTAAGCCAGGCTTTTTGAAAGGATGTTGAGTTTTTTTAGTGATCTAATAACTGCAGTGAGCAGGCTGGACAGGTCTTCCTGGCCTTCAGAAAGGACTGAATATGCCACCTCTGGGTTCCACTCCTCGCCCTTCCTTCAACAGGCTTTTCATTTGCTTATTTCAGTGCTGGATCCACCCTACACATGAAAGGCTTAGCAAGCTAGCATGCAAACTAGCAGAGGTTTTTGAAAAGGCCTTACATGCAGGTAGAGCTAGAGTTACCATGGGTTTGGGTAACCCCACAAAACCAACATCTCCAACTTCTCAAGGAGAGCAGTGACTCTTCCTCTGCCACCCCACGCTGTCACAGTTGAAATGAGGATGTAAACAACTTCCATCCATCCCAGCCTCACCCCACTCAGCACTAATGTATGTGAAACACCAGTGGCTCAGACTGGAAAACTGAAAAGCAGGGTGTTCCTTCTGGAACTGCTGGGCACATACACACTGAGCCTGGAACATCATAAGCACAGTTTGCCCTGAAATCACCTTGTAAGCATTCCTGCCTCAGTGACCCTCCCAGTGCTTTCTGCTGCCTCTCAAAGCACTGTATTACAGGTGTGGAAGCATCACTAGACCATGAGTTCTGCATCCTTCCTTTGGAGTGAGAGGAGCAGGGTAGGGTCTACCAGTGCTGAGCTTCAAGCTGCTGCAGGTAGATTTCTACCATCAAAGTGGTTCCTCTATCTCTGCATTACATTGTAGTCACTCTAATTTAAGAAGAGAGGAAGAAAAAAAAACCACGATTGGAGACTGATATTTTATGAAAGTAGAGATTCTCCCCCTCTGTGTGATACCATCTCCCACATCAGAGAAACCCCAACAGCCGTGGGCTTCCCATCCAACCCTGGCTCCTAAATGGCAGAGCTGCAAACAAACTCTAAATTAGGCAATGACTTCAGGTAAAAGCAGAATTACCACACACTTGTCAAGCAGCCAATTCAAAGCAGCAAGACCTGAGGAGGAGGCTGAATGTTTGATGGCTTTGCTGGCTTGATTGGCTGCCACAATGCCCAGGATGACCGATGACACTTTCTTGGGCAGGAGCCATCTCCTGCAGGGCCCACACCCCGAGCAGAGGCTGCTCTCTGCCAGAGCAGCTGGCTCCTGCAATGGCTTTACTGGTTGGATCTTTGCTCCTTCCCAACTTCTAAAACAGGTCCTACTTGTAGGAGGGGGGGGGGCCTCAGTGTGTCTCTAGTATTTATAATTACACATTTATTGAGCTTGTGCAATCCAAACTGCAGCTTCAGGCCAAAAGTTCACTGCTAGAGGGGTTCAGTAAAGAATTTCCTCCTGAGAATGGAGAATTACATCACTTGCCAAGTGTGTCAGGCGGTTTTCCAGCCTCTGGTTGGGTCACACCCATTTTGACTACTCCAGTGGCTGGATACTGTACATGCCTGGCCACATCCTTAAGGTCCATTGGATTAACTGTGTCTGCAGGTTCTAGACATCAGAAAACTGAGTAAGGTTGTCATACAGCCCTTCCTGTCAGAGGCTGCAGGACCCCAGAACAGCTAAAGCATGTCAATGCATAAGGACAAAATTGGATTTGCAAGCAGCAGCCAGCCAACTGTTTTGCACATATAACCCCAAAATATCAGACCTTTCTATGTACATCTCATCACACAGGCAAGTCTGTGGTGACAATAATGACATTTTTCTGATGGAATGCTAAATAACCTCAGGGATACATCACCTACCATGCTGGAGATGGTGCCTACATTATAAAATGATGGTTCCTGCCCCAAAGAGTTCAGTCTCTGTTCAGTATGATGCCCTGTTTCTTTTGTATTATTCTTGTAGCAGCATGAAGGCTGAATACTTGACAATCCATTGTCATCTCACACTTAGAGAAACACAAACACTGTTCTTTCCATGTGCCATTATGTCTCTCCATACAAAAAACACATGCCTGAAGACTCTGAAGTTAAGGAAACTTCATCTCTAGGGCTCTTGGGTGATATTGCACTGCCATGACAATTAACAGAATAATCCTAATGCAAACAGATAAACCAGAACTCTTACATGGACAGTTTTAGTTTATTATGGAGTCTGATACCACTGTTGATAGTAAACCAGGGGAATGAGACTAATTTTGTTGGCATATCAAGGTTCATGTGAGTAAAAATGCTCTTCCTTAGCCTTTATATATCAGCTCTCTTGATGACCTTACTGTGTGAAGCCCTGCAGTGCAATAAACAATTCTGCAGGTGGGGAAACTGAGGCAAAAAGTCGTAGGCCTTTCAGGGGATCACCCAGTGAGTGGAAATGAAGGCACTGAGACCTACCTGTTGCCAGTCTATAAACTCCATTTGCTGACCACCTCAGATGGCAGCACAGGCATATGGGCTGATTATGAGAAGCAAGTTACAGGAAAACATGGATTTTAGTAGAAGAACAGACTGGAGTGAAGGGATTAACGTGATTTAATGGGTCACTTGGGGAGGAGAATTGGCAAACATAAATACAATCCTATTCAAAGAAATTTAGCAGATGAAATTTAGCAGTCCCTGATTGTGGACAGATAACTGCACTGCTGTAGATATCAGGTCCCTTTTCTCCCAAGGAAACCAACAGCTCAGTGTCCACGAGCCTCAGAGCTCCTGCACTCTAAAAGGAGCAAGGATCACACAAATATTATTTGGGGATGTACAACCAGCACAGTCCGGTGATTTCTTTTACAGCCAAGGCTGCCAGAAC